GGGTTTTTCGGGTTTTGAAGGAAATTTGGGGAAATCCTTGATTTGTTGTTGCATGTAGGAAAAGATGGTATTTTTGAGCTATTGGATGAAAATGTGGCACTTTGAATCGTTTGCATGTGGTTTTTCTGTTAAGTTTTGCAGGTTTTAGGAAAATTTTCAAACTTAGGGGAGTTGCTGCTGAGCTTCGCGCTGGGCGCTGTTCTTCGCGTCGGGCGCGTGACCACCAGGAGGCTCTGTTTAAGCAAGCCCGCCGGGCGCAAGGGTGTGTGCGCCGGACGAGTTTGAGGACGAGAGCCTCTGGTTTGCCCCCGCCGGGCGTGACTTGAGCTGCGCCGAGCGCGATACCAGTTGTGGCATGTTTTGGGACTTCTGATGCCGCGCTAGGCGCACGTTTGGACTCGCTGGGCGCAGAGGCTCCTTGGGAGTCTCTGCCATGGGGGCGTCGGGCGCAATTAGAATTGCGCTGGGCGCAAGACCTTGGTAGGTCCTTGCCTTCCCCACGTTGGGCGCGGGTTAGGCCACGCCGGGCGCGTGAGACTCCTTGAAGTCTCTACCTAGGTATGCATTGGGCGCAATTTAATATTGTGCCAGGCGCGTGAGAGCCATGGACTCTCGGATTGGGTCACGCCGGGCGCGAGTACTTTTGCGTTGGGCGCGCTGGCCCCTGGTGCTCTTTGGTTGAGCCACGCTGGGCGCGACCATGAATGCCCCGGGCGCGTATAATGATGATGATATATATATATATATATATATATATATATATATATATATATATATATATATATATATATATGCTGTTAGCGGATACATTTTGTTGGGATTGTTGATTTGAATTGTTATATGCTGAACTAAGCCGTACTTGATGAATATGCTATGCCGACTAGATGATAGTGCTGAGAAGAAATGTTTAGTTGTATTAGATGTATAGTGTTGTGCTGAGCTGGACTGTGATTGATGATCTTAGAATGCTGAATTATGGTATTGTTGTGTTATAGAATGTCGAGTTGAGCTGTATGCTGTGTGTGTGGCCACTATGGTGGTGCTGTACTAGCCGCTATGTCGGTGCCGTTATTGCCGCTTTGCGGTGCTGTTATAGCCACTAATGTGGTGCTGCTATTGTTGCTATGCAGTGCTGAATATGCCGCTTCGCGGTGCTGATAATTGTTGAAAGCTGTGATATAGTATAAGTTGTAGTTGTTTGTTATTATATTGTTATATGTATGTTGATTTCTTTTTACTAGCTTACCCTTTTGTTGTCTCCATGATATTTGGACTGCGATGATCATACTATGTATGGGAGCAGAGCAGTGATAGGTTGGCGACTGGTGGTGAGACTTCAGCTGGCAGGCAGAGTTGATCTTTTGGATGTTTTGTTGTTTTAACTACCCGGAGTGGTAGCCTTTGTTGTATTTTTGTGCACTTTAACCCTATTCAGACTTGGATCATGTATATATATATATATTCTAGACACTATATGTATATGCCTGTTCCTTTCTGTGTGGTGTTTCTAGTGTGTCGTGCCGCGTGTAGTGACCAGCCGGGTCGTTACAACATGTATAGACAAAAAAATATCTTATTTACATGTTATTGTGGTATGATAGTTTAGAAGATATTTATTCATGTAGTCGGTAGAGTGAAAAAAAATGGAGAAAATGTGTTATTTTGGAGGAGTGAATAGTTACTAATTAGATTAGGCAGTTATTTTATATGAGTTGAAGGGTAAAAAAATACCTATGACGAGGACATGAAAATTAATTTTATTGAAAATTAATAACATGTTTTAAGGACAAAATGTGAAAGTAAATGTGGAGATAAAAAATGTTAGTATCCCCTTTATCTGTTGTTGTAGATATAAGAGACTCTTCTCACTTTCACTTATCTATCTTTATAAGACCATTTTCTATTTATTAGTTGAATTAATTAAATATTCTTTAACATTCTAATTTAATTAACAATTCTTTTAAATAAATACTAATAAATAAATAAATAAATTAGATAAATTTTTTTATCTCTTATTATTAGGATTAGAGAATATAAATAGATATATAAATATCTCTCTTTCAAATATTAATTAATTAAATATAAATAATTGTCAAAAGAAAGAAAGTTAATTAAAGAGATATTAAGTATAATTTTAAAAAAGTAGTTTAAATTATTGAAATTTTAGTACTCTTAACTAAATTAACATTTTTTAATTGTATTATCTTCTTTCCTATATATAAAATTCAACTATCTACTTCACTAAGATTAAAAAATAATTTATTTAGTTAATAACAATAAATTATATATATATATATATATATATATAACTACTTTTATACTATTTTTTAATTAATACTTATATACTCTCTCTAAAGTCCGAACGAAAAAATATGTATAAGTAAAAATATCTATACTCATACATATTATGGAAGTTAGTTAAGTTTATTTAATTTTATTAATCTCATATAAAACTAAATTTTACTACCTGAATTATCCTTAATACTATTTCTTAGAAATAGTAATCACATTTAATTTAAGGAGTATTTTTAAAATAATAATATTAAATAAGATCAAATTAGTTAAAATTTGTTTATATTTAAGTTTTAGGTATACTTTTGCTTATATATATGAATTTAAGGGGAGTATCTGTATATTGTTTGTCCATATCTTGGTGCAATGGTTTGCTTATTACAATACCATTATTGGGTCTCCGGTTTAAGACACGACATGCCCTCATTTGAAACAAAATCATCAACGACACAAATAGGATATTTTATACTATATTTCTCTTTAAACTAATACTCATTTGTATTAATCAATTAGAATGTATATTTTTTAAATAATTTATTTTATCAAATTCAGAGAACACAATTTAATTATAAATATTTTAATATAAAATAATTAATAAATAAAGCAATATGTTTTAACTGAATTTTATATAAAATAATAAATAAATTTTCTAAATTAAATCTTATAAATAAAAAATAATATAATTGAATTAAAAACATGGTATAATTAGGGCGAAAGTAGAATCAAGTTCCCTATAGATTTGTGTAATCATTGAAAGGAAAAAGACAAACAAAAAAGATAGGCACGTGAGAAGCAGGCTTCAAACATTTCTCTTTCATAGAAGTTTATTCATTTTCCTAGAAAGTTAAAAAGGATGTGATCTCTATTCACATGTTTGGTGGATTTCTGTACAAAGTTATTCTGGACGGATTCGCGTTTGCCATATGTGATATGGCGAGCACACATTACCAAACATCCCTATTAAAAAATTATAATTTATTGATATTAAATTGACTTTGTTTAATAAACATATTTTTATTACCAATCACATATTATTTTTTGTATAAATTTTAAAGTAGCGCGTGGTTAATATAAAAGTTAATATATGACTATTTGTAATTAAATAAGGACAACGATTTTGTATATATAAATAAATAAATATATATATATATATATATGATTTAACCAATAATAAAATCTTTTAATTCAATAGTTGTAAGGTTCAAATTTGATTATATATGATAATAATTTGAGGTGACTCTACAAATAAAAAAATTATAAAAAAATGTTATATTTCACAAAGTATAAACAAATTTTAAGTCCTAAGGACTAAATTACAAAAAAAGGATGTATGACTTGATTACAAATACTTTTAGTTTAGAGACCTAATTTTTTTTTCAAAAACTTCATAAACCAAACAATGTGTTAAAGTTTTAATCAAATACAACATATTTTATTACATTAAAAAAAAAATAACGATGTTAAAAAATTTAAAATAGATATACTAATATATTTTTATTCAATTTACTTTTATACAACAATTTATTATAAAATATTATATAATTTTAAGGACCAAAAGTAATGCATCTTCAAATTAAAAGGACAAAAATAAATTAAAAGACTAAAACCAAGTTTAAATTTTTTTAGAGAAATCAAAAATATAATTTACTATTTTATAAATGTAATACATTAAAAAATTAACAATAAAAATAACAAGACATTATAATTGTATCACTTTATATTTTAAATATAAAAACAGAAATATATAAAAAAAGATAATTTTATTTATTTTAAAAGTAATATAAAAATTATAACACAATCGCATAATTTCAAATAAAAAAAGGCCCCTCTTAGTTATGGGTCGTAGGCAATTGCTTCTATAATCAAGGTCCAGGATTTGTCAATAAAATCTATGTCCTGTGAATATATATTAATCTTTGTCGGTTTTGAGATATTATATGAGTTATGGTCAAAAAAATGATTTAAATAATATTTTAAAATTAACAAGTAAAAATTAATTGCACTTGTTGAACGTGGCTTTCGCCGATCAAGTGTAGGTATTTTATTCCTAACATGTATTTTAAAATATTAAGATAATATTATAAGAGAGGACATGTGATGCCCTGATAATATAAATGTAATAACAAATTATTAGTTATAGTAAATTATTAACTTTTCATAATGAATAAACATGCCATTAACAATGACATCCAGTTCATTGACAATGTAAATTTATTTTACCCTTTTAGTGTATAACCATTAAATATAGTGTATAACTATTAAATATGTTTTATAAATGTATATGAACACCGTTATATAATATGCAAAGAAACAATTTTTTTAATACAAGATATTAGTTTATAGTATTACACTCTTCATGTTCTCTTTTATAAAAAAAAAAATAATTCTTAAATATAAACAAATTTTAACTACTATTATCTTATTTAATGATTTTTTTTTTAATTTTAAAAGTATGAGTTTTCAGTTTTATTATTTCTTTTAATATTTATAATTATAATAATTTAAAAAAAATGAAATTTGTAAAATTTAATATATATAACTAATTTGTTTAATATATCTAAAAATCAGTAATTTTTTTTCTTCTTGGAGCACGGTACATCTTAGGTCGACATAAATTTATGATACCTTCAATTACGTTTAAGCAATCCTAACTAATGACGGGTATTTTTAATCTTTAAATGACAAAAGTTTTTGCGGTGCATCTGACACTGTTAGAATATGAGAATTTTTACCAATAAAGAAAGGTACATATTTATTAAATGTACAAAAAACGATGAGATGAGATTAGATAAGGGATGAAATTACAGAAGCAAGAAGATCCTGAGTAGTAATATTATTCTTTCACTCCAACAAAAAATCTTCGTAAGAATTGATATCGAATTGGGCATGGTCCATGTTCAAGAGCTGGAAATATTCTTCATAAACTTTCTGCAGTGTGCCATGATCCTCCGTGTGAAAATAAGAGTGGCATTCAATATCTGAGGCGTTGACCAAGTCATGGTCTACACTGAAGAAGCCAAAACCATCACTTTCTCCCTCGTTACCAACTTCACTAACCATGTTTGATTCCTTTGTCACGGGGCACTCCTCCTTTTCTTCTTGGCTCGTGGATCCACTAGGGGAATTCGAATCAAAGGTGAAGGTGTTACTATCTGTTCTAGCCAAATACATAGCCTTCACTCTGATGGGCTTTGGCAAATAAACCTGTGTCTTTGGTGCCTCATCAGCATTAGTATTTGTGCTCCCTTTCTTCTTCTGCTTGTTCTTCTTTGTCTTTTTGCCACCGTTTTTCTTCCTTTTTGGTGGCTCTTGTTGGGGATTCCCTATTGTGTTGGTCTCATCTGTTCCTTGATTTTTCACCTTTTTGCTTAGATGGGTGTTCCAATAGTTCTTTATTTCATTGTCTGTTCTACCTGGTAACCTTCCTGCTATGAGGGACCATCTATTCCCCAAAAGTGAATGCATTCTGATTATAAGATCATCTTCTTCTGCTGTTATGTTCCCTCTCTTTATGTCTGGTCTAAGGTAGTTCATCCATCTCAATCTACAACTTTTTCCACATCTAAGAAGCCCTGCATATTCAAAGAGTCATCCATTAACAGAATTGTCTTTGATAAAATATACATGTAAAATTTGATGTATAATGATCATACTCAAGTTCGAATCATATATAATACTAGACCAACTCTGGTGGTTTAAGTATATGTTATATGTTATGTAGTTGTAAATCAAAACATATTGAGAAATAAACCACACCCCATGAAAGAAATTTTTTTTTTTTGAAGCAGAACAAGAGGGACCAAGAAAAGAATGAGGAAATTAGCATCTAAAGTCTTATTACCAGCTTTTTTTGGTAGAGATTTCCATTGGCCTTCTCCATGGGCTTGAATATACTTGGTAAGCAATGCATCCTCTTTAGGAGTCCATGGACCTTTGTGCAAGCCAACTTTGGAGCAACAAGGTGCTCTTCCCATTTTTGGCACTCTCTAAATTAGGACTCTCACTCTGTTCCGGAGAGAGAGGAGTCCTCTTAGGAAGCACACCTTAAGATCCCAACACCTAGTTCCATTTATATAATAGTTCAGCTCTGCCATTTTTTTATTGTTATTTTAATTTATAATATCATGCCATGGACTAAGACAAGTTGAAAGCCAAGAGTGGCTGCTATTAACTATTCACATTTCTCGTACGTATCTCTATGTATTTACTTAATATTTATGTTTATTAAACAACAAAATGGTTATTTGGAAATTGACTGTGTTGTTGAAATATTTTGTTTTTGAAAAATAAAAGGTTTAACATGAGAAGGTACTATCCTTGTTACAGATCAATTTAGATTGTTTATCAATGAAAATTTAAACTTGAATAATTCATCTATAAAAGTAAAATGTCAACCTAAAAAATCAACCACGAATAGTTAATTGGCTTGGTTGGTTATATCAATCCTCACCCCTCCAAACTGTTCTTTTTCACGACAGTGTGGGTTAGTTTTTCTGTTTATTTTCTAAGGAATAAAAAAAAGTCCGTTATACGTTTCTTAAGAAATTAATAGCAAAGCAAACCTCAAGACTTTTTCTCTTTCTATCTCTCTTTTTCATTTAAGTCCTCTGAGTTTTGTTTTTCTGAGACACAGTTATGTGATAATATATTTCTCTTGCATTCTCAAAATTAACGTTCTAAAAAAGTCTTTTGTCCAAAAATATGTCTATTCTGGTTCATTAAACATAAGAAAGTTTTACTCTAATGTCACTTTCTTAAAAATGTCAAAACTTTTCCTTTACCAAACATCATTTAATAACTAAATTAAAACTTTGTTCCTACACCTAACATTATTTTTTCCATTTTATTTCATATATATCAAATATATTATAAACTCTATAATAAAAATGATTACAAATTCATTCTTGTCCTTGATTAGTCTTACAATTGTATTAAATTTAGTCTCTATTTTTGATAATTAATGTTTTTCATTCCAATTTCTATACGGTAAAAATTTCTGCATTTTCTTTTTTTGGTGAAGAGGACAAATTTAATACACTTCGATCCCACATTAAATTTTTAGGAGAACTAAATACACCTTTTTTATTTTATATATTTTAGTCTTTCCACCATGCCAGTATTTTTTTATAGAAATAAAATTAGTCAATTAAAGTTTTAAATATGAAAGTTGAATTAAAAAATTGAGAATAATAATAATAAAGAACTAAAAGTATCCTCTCTTTTTTTCTTCTTTGCATTATAATGCTCAAGTTCACTGAGATCTACATAAGTTAAAAACATTAGGTTCAATTATTTAACTTAACACAGTTATATACTTAAGAATTGAACTTGACTAAACGGAAAATGGTCCACACCAATTAATCTATGTCATGTTTGATAAAGAAATTAAATAATAAATAATTGTAAATTAATCATACCCTAATATTTTAAAAAATAACAATAGTAGAACTTGTCGATAAAAACAAGCAAAAGCAGTGTTTTTTTTTCCCTCTCTCCGACGGCATCAGGCTGCTCTCTCTTTGCCTCTCTGGCGGCGTCAGGCTTCTCTCTCTCTCTCTCTCTCGGCAGCTGTGAATTGTGATAATGATAAATGAAGAAATAACACTCGTGAACTTTATGGTGGCTTTTACTAAAATATTATTTATTTTTTGACAGTTTACAAAAAACTATTATTAAAAAACACACGCATGTTCCATTCACACATCAATGTATTATATTAATCTTTATAATGTAATATTCCTACATCACTTTTAACTTGAATGGAGTGAGTGTGATTTTGTTTCACGATCCATTTTAATTTGTTTATATTTCTAAATAATATCATAAGAATAGTTGCTTCTAACTATTGATAGTTGAGTAATTTTAATTGTTCATAAATATATAGTTTAATTAACTTGTAATGCTAAATATGTCATATTTTTCTTTGTTTATTTTAATTTTTTTTATCAAATAAAATGAATCAACGTTAATTAAATACTTCAAATTAAAAACTTAATATACATATACTCTAAATTCCTATTCAATATATATTTTTTTTATTATTTTTAGAAAAAAATTGACATAAAATAAAAATATTTTATTGTAATTAAAAATTAAATTAGATAAAAATGAATTAAATATTTTTTTCATAAAAGTAAAATAATAGGAAAGGTATGCAACCAAACTTATAAACATTGTAATGCAAGAAACTTTTATAATAATTACTTAATGAATTTTTATATTTATTTTAAACATTCATCGCATGCAATATATACTTTTTAATATTTTACTGCTTAAGTTGATATTTTCTTTAAAATTATTGGTAAAGAGAATAAAAAAAAACTAATATATGTAAAATATATATTTAATGAAAATAAAAAAAATTGTGACTAGTATTTATTTCAATGTAAGAGAAATATCTTTTTTAAATTTTAAATTTTCTTTCTAATCATTTAAATACGAATTTACTGTTATTGATTGTCAAAGAAAACTTTAATCTCACATAAAATTTTCAAAATTATTTTTCTTCACATTCTTTTAAAGTGTATACAGTTTTGAGAGGAAAAAATGAAGAGAAATGCATAAATAATATAATAGTTAATGTAAAAAAAAAATATTGTTCTTACCGGAAATCTGCTGTAGAGCTGATCTACTGGGTAAGATCGATGAGCCTCCTTTGCTGGGTGTATTGGTGCTCCGAGATGGGGGAGGTACCTGCAAAAGAGACTCCGATGCTAAAGTTAGGGTTTGCACGAATAATGGTCTCATATATATAATGCACGTACCTTGAGGTTATCTAGGTTTGCCTTGGGCTTTTGGGCTTGAGATAAGATATATCATGATATGATATGATATAATTGAAGGGCAGATCTGGTTTGGGACGAGATCCTCGGAATCAGGTATGATTCACTCAAATGCCGGGCTGACGTCATGCACCGCGTGCCCGGGGTTACTTATTTGCAACACTAATCCAGGCTAGGAGCCCGGGTGCGAAGTACGGTCAGTACACTAGCCCCCCGAGCTCCGAAAGCCGTAGGTTGAGGAGTTAAGACCGGGCTTGCTAGAGGGGGAGTGACTTAGTGCGTACGCTATCTGGAGCTTCGCCACGTGGCGCGGCTGTTTACTTCTGAAACGTGCGGGCGGCGCACTAAAGGAAATGGAGGTTAAGCGATGATGGCTTGCATTTAATGTTTTGTCAGGCGTGCCCCTTGGTCGACACGTAGCCTGGCGGTTTTGAATTTCGGGAAGAGACTTTTCCCTTTCTTGCGCCTTTGCCCTTTTCGCTTTACTCTTTTTCTGTCTCTCGGCTTCTTGCGCACGTCTCGTCTTTGCTTGCTCCTCGTTTTCGTTTTCTTTGTGTTTTCTTGATGGCTGGTGGTTATGGCGGCAAGTCTTCTGCCTCCACTAAGGGTAGGGTACGTGGCAAGGCGGTGGTCGCCGCCGAGGCAAAAGGGGTGCCTCCGCCCGGAGACTCAGAGCTGGGC